TAGTTGTTTGAAGACCAAAGAAGGTTTTGATTCCATTCATATATTGGAGCTTGTGGTAGAAGCTCTAAGTTGCGTATGGAAGATTACCCTCTTTTGGAGTTGTATTTGATCAAGCTGGTGGAGCTGTGTTCTCTGAAGATCTTCATTTGGATTACTAGGCAGTAGTAAGTCCAGTTGTGAGCATATCAAGAACCATTGGATGTTGTCTCTGTGATATGTTAGGATGTCCTAACTAATGTCAGAACATCATTTTGTTTGCTAGACTTAAAGATCTGTTGTGAAACTTGTGTTTCACATCTTGACTAAGAGGTACTCTATCTTGTCATACGGGAGAATGATGAGGTAAAAGGACTGTCTTGGAGTATGATGTGAAGGTATTGTACAAGATTAGAGTGGTTTATTGCATCTGGACTATGATGAGTTATATGGAAGTGAATAGTCACCAATTAAACCAGAAGTGTTCTAACTTATCATATGGGAGAATGATGAGGAAAGAATGCCTTGGAATATGGGGTGCCTATCTTGTTCTCTGACTCAGGCTGAGGTCAGAATATCTGTGGAGAAGTGGTTTCTTCTACTGCAAGTAAGATGTGGAGTAGTTTGGTATCTTCTCACTGTATGAGCATGAGGTTGGTCTTGAGATATTGTGGTGATCTTGGAGCATATTTTATAGAAGATAGGGGGAGAACTTCTATCTGATAGGTGTACTAGTTGCCTGTGGTTCAAGTAGTGAGTGAATGAGTTCAGCAGGTGTGTTGAACAAGGAGTGCGCTCTTGAAGACATGAAGATGAGTCTTATGTTTTCCATTCACGTGCTTTTGGAAAAAGAGTACTGGTTATCCTTGATATGGGAAGTTATTCTTCTATCTAGGATTTGTTACTACAATAGTACAGTTATTCCTCAAGATTGTTTGTGGTTTCAAGCAGTTTGTGACTATATATCTCTAGGAGGATGAAATTTCATACCAGATGTTATGATATTATGTTACTGCTCTAGCTCATGGGGAACCTGACAGTATTTTTTTCTGTCATTGGGTATCAATGGATCAAGTTAGGTATTTAGGGCCTCTATCCAAGTGTCGTGTATGACTGGTGAAGATGAAGTTCAAGACATCATCAGCCTTTGTCTTGTGCATATGGAAGTCAAGGAAACATGCCTATCCTGCAACTACCTCTGCTATTTGTTCTAGTATGGGTTATGAACCAAGGGGTGCAGAGATGCATGTGCTTCCAGTGTGTGAATATGAAGATGTTGAAGTAAGTCTTCATGTGTTTGGGTTCTCTCTTTCAGGGGGAGTACTGAGTATGCATGACATGGGGAGATGTGTACCTGTCTGATGTGTAGCTGCATTGCTTGAGTTGACATTGTGCTGATATGGAGCTATGTACAACATTGGTTATTGTCTGGGAGAATTTATTTTTCTCTGCAGAATATTTGTGTGTCTCAAATAGGGGATTCAAAATCAATTGTTACTTGACAAGTATTTAATTGATTATCCTTTAATTGGTGATATCAAAAGTGTCACTTCTGAAGGTGCAGCTTCAGACAAGGCAAGAACTCAAGATTCAATGACAATGTTCATGGGTTAAAGTCATGTGGAATTAACACTATGGAGGGGTGCAATGTTTAAGCAGCTTGTGTATCTCCTGGGAGGTTGTGAGATGTCATTCAGCTTATATGGATGCACATTTACTCCAGTTTTGGTCAATTTTTGACTAAACCAAGGGGGAGATATAAAGTTTTGTTATGTTATCTGTTGCTACTGCTAAGGACAGAGTAGTATTTTGTAGTTTCTTGTTGAACGCAACTATTAAGGGGGAGCATGATAGTTTGTTTGTGAGAAAACTATTGCTGCTGCCCTGATGTTTAATTTGTTGTTTTAGCCAAAATTTGCCAAAGGGGGAGATTGTTAGTTCCATGATTCTATGATTGACTAAATTTTGGTAAAACATGACGTTAAACAAGATGTCATAACATCCATATCTACTGTTATGACAATACTGCTGTCATGTGTTTTAAACAGGATGTCATTACCAATGTCATGACATCGCTGTTTGGTGCAGCAGGAGCTGATAACAGAACTGTTGTCATGTGTTTTAATCAGGATGTCATTACCAATGTCATGACATCGCTGTCTGATACAGCAGGAGCTGCTATTTTATATCACTTGACAGAAGTGGTTTGGTTTGATGAGATCCTGTTGGATATATCTCATCAAGTGTGTGCAGGTCAAAGATATTCATAACATGAAAGTGCATATTTAATTGGTGTTCATAAAAAGGATCTTTGAGATTTTTTAGGAAACTATAAAACATTTGTTTCTACTGTTATGAAGAAGATTCTGCAGAAGTGCTCTGCAGGGTAAGTTTAGTCAACTAACACAAAGTGAATTGGATGTCATACTGAATGTCATGACATCAGGTAGCTGACATGCATAACAGGCATGTTGGTTTTCTGTTATATTGCATGAGTTAGCTCAGGCTAGATTTCAGGAGACTTATTAGGGTCCCCTAGTTATCTCAGACGAGATTCTAGGCAGTGTTGAGCTTATCATTAAACGCCTATGACCTATTTGATAGCACCTTAAATTATGAAAAGTGGTTTAACTTGGTTAAACCTAATGTTTGTTACTTTTGACCAGTCCAAACCCAGTCTGCATTTCTATTTAAGGAGGCGCAGAAGCAAAGGAAATCAAGCACTCACAACAAGAAAAACTTGAGTGTAGAATTAAGGTTTAGGATTTTTAGAGTCCATTGTGTGTGACCTTGTAAGTCACCCTTTGTATCTTTGGATGCATCGTGGTAGACATGTTTAGGCTGTTATTAGTACAATATTAATTGTTCACTCAAAACTTTTAAGCAAGAGTGTATTTGGGAGTGAAGAGTTATGTTCTTCACGTGTATTTGTGTGTCTTAGGAATACTTGTACACCAAGCAATTATCTGTTGTATGATTGCATTGGTCTAGAGTTCTTAAGTTGTCTGTTAAGTGTTCAGTCAAAGTTTGTAAGTAAGAGTGTATTGTTCTTGATTGAAGTTGTTAAGCAAAATCAAGTATTGTGACTTTGAAGAGTGTCTTCTAAAGTCTTCTTTTGTATTGAATTGTTTATCACTGCTGTGATTGAGGGGGAGTGAGCGGGGTCTCTTGTCTAGTGGGTTCTAGGCAGAAATTGCATTGGGTAGAGATTAAGTGAGGAGTTGTAAACGGGAGAGTTTAGCTCTGAATTGATTATGCTAATAATGGATTTTCTTCTTGGCTTGGTAGCCCCCAGATGTAGGTGAGGTTGCACCGAACTGGGTAAACAATTCATTGTGTTATTTATCTTTCAGCATTTACAATTCTGTACTATTTAAATGGTTAGATAAATAGTTTGTCTGTCTGGTGATGTTACAACAGACTTCATGACTTTGGTCATGACATTGGTACAATTTAAAGTAATTTAAATTGGTCATGTTCTGTCCTTGTTCTGTTTCAGTAGAGATCAATATTCTTTGCATCTCTTAGGACATATGAGATCTGCATACCAGAATTTTAATCTCCAACTGTTGAGTTGGTGTCACCATACCTGATTGGATATCACAATGCAACTGAGCAAAATGGTTTTTATCAACATGGTTCTGTAATGGAATACAATCTCTAGTACAAACCCCTCTGATCTCAGCCACAACATCAGCCAATAGTTAACTATTTGAATTTAAACTAACACACTGAAATTATATTACTTATTTATTTTATTTCTCCTTTGATAAACCCTCCAAATAACAGGTTTACCTTTCTCCTTAGTTTGTGCACTATCAGGTTTGGTGGAACAAGCTTCTGGTACGACGGAGAGATGACATGGATATGCAAGGGTAGCCCTCCAACGACCAAGTCAATAACTGAGTGAAAAATAGTTTGAGAGTGTGAACAAATTGAATACATGAAATGATACAATTTGATCTTTATATGGTATGGACACTTAAAACCTCATGCGTGTGATTCATCACTTTGTGTGGGTTGCCGTTCGATTAGATTTCACGGTGAGAGATGTGGTGGAGGGTGTGATTATGTGTACTCAACAAGAAATGAGAATCCACCTGTTTTGTATGCCTTTTTATTTGACGCATGTTATTGAACCTTTTTTATGAGTCTTGCACACGGTCTATAACAAGATTGATGGAACTTTAGAGGATGTTTGATTACTTTGATTGCTTGAGGGTTTACTTGCTATGACATTTTATGATTGAACTAGTGCCAAATATTTATTTTCTATTTTATAAGAGTTTATTCACCCTTGCTCTCATAGTAACACCACGAAATTTATAATTACATTATGTCAACTACTTTACTATTTCCATATTGCTACAATTCCATTTGGTTGAGATGATTGATCCTTTGGATTTGTTACTTGTAGCTCAGGTCTTTATGGGGTTTATAGGTGGAGTTAGTTAGCCAGCTGTTAATTCTGTTATTACTCTAAAACAAAATATAGTTACTTATATCATTAGAGCAACCTATATATAAGGTGTGTCAAAATATTACAATCTTCAGATTAAGGGTGTGCAGGCTATGCTCTGATGAACTCCTAAGTTTCATTTTCATACGGTTGTTAAATAATGACAACATAAACATAAAACTAAATAAATGCTTCCAAAATGTACAATCCTCTAATAATTTGAATCAGCTTAAGCCTAAAGCAATACTTATTTCATTACATGACAAACAAAACATATGCCAACATATTTATTCATACTATGCCCTAACGGTAATCTAAGGCTTTCTTGAATTATACTCTTTGTTTATTTCACTAGTCACCAGCATGAGATTGAGATGTCCTTTTCAATGTCCTAAACAATAGCTACATTTGATTAATGGAAATTTCATTTTATGCATAGTACTGCCAAATCAAATGAACTATTTTGTACAATAGGAAACTTCCTTTAACCCTCCCTTTCTCTTCCAATATATTATCATACTATCAAATCTCATAATGGTTAAACTATTGCATTCATTTTAGCAAAATGAGCAAGGGTCCTGGTGTATATTCAAGTATTGGTGATAAAGCAAAAGGTTTCATCAATTCTTCTTCTTTTTCTGAAGTTAATCTTTAAGCTTCTTTACCAGTTTTATACTGACATAAATTTGTTTCTTTTTTTATTAGATGTTCTTTACAAGGACTATGCTCAACCATCACCAATTCACTTTCACTACAAGTTCATGGATTGGAATGCAGGTTTTGCTTGTAAAGGTATTATGAATAATATCAATTTAACTCTATACTGCTGCACGTGTTCACGTAGTTAATGATTCCGCGATCCATCCGATCTCCAGCTCAATAATTTTAGTTTTTAAATGGGATCGGATGGTCTAGATCTCAAATATGCTTACTTTTGGATTTCTGATCTCGACCGGACGGTCACGATTCCCCTGACTGCATGAATGCATGCAGTTAGTGACTGGCCCGGGTTCGAGTTTCTTATAACCCTAAAGAAACATGACATTACCTAAGCTATGTCTGACTAGAGTGTTTTTGCTGCTTTATCAATTACAGTTGTAGAAATCGTACCTGGATTCAGGACAGTTTTCAAGTGTACGATACCAGATTCCGGGAAGGTAAAATTACTTTTTACTTGCCTATAAACTACTATGTATAGTATCGTCTCTAACCATTTTACGTGTTAAATTATTGTTCATTGCACAATGAAATCATAGGTAGAACTACAGTATTTGAATAGATTCACTGGGATTAGTGGATGCATTGGGTTATTAGGAAGCGAAGAAGGACAATATGAACCTGTTCTAAACTTCTCCGGTCTTCTAGGAACAAGCATTCTGTCCCTGGGAGCCAATGTTGCCTTCCACATACCGACAAGATCGATAAGCAAGCTCAATGCTGGTTTCGGCTTCAACAGTGCCTTTCTTGAAGCTTCATTGACCTTGTAAGATACATCCGGCAAAAACTAGACTAAATTTATCAGAAAATTGATGAGTATAGATTAACGATCTCTAAACTAACTTGATGATTAATCATTAGTATTAAGTGTTCTGCTCCGGTTTAATGCTGAAGTTTGGTGTTATGCAGGCATGACAGCTTCGACACTCTAAAAGCGACCTTTTATCATCAAGTGAATCCCCTGACTCAGACTGCCATTGCAACACAGGTGAAGCATAGCTTGTCACTCAAGGAAACTGGTGTCAGCATTGGTGTTCAGCACGCGTTCTTTCCGGAGACGCTGTTAAAGGCTCGATTCGACAGCTCTGGCAAGGCAGGTACTCTTATTCAACAAGGGTTTTGGCATAAATTTTTTGTAACTATGGCTGGTGAAATTGATTTTGGGGCCGAAGATAAGACTCCGAAGTTTGGAGTTTCCATGGCTCTAAGGCCCTAGTCTATGCCAAGGAGATAAGGATTCATGTTAAACTGAGAGGTTGTTGCAAGAGGAGACTTTCAAACAATGACGCAAAACTTCTTCAATATTCAACAACAGTACTAGTATTAGATATCTATTTATCACTTCTACTGCAAAAATTTCAAAATTCATGCTTATTCATATAGAACATTAGTCTCTGAAAATAGCTCTAGACATATTTTCTTTTCTTAGATTTACCGGCAGCTTCATGCTACTCCCGTTATCTACGTTGTTTTGGGAAACTCTATTATTCATAAAGGGGGGAGCAAGTTTAAATTTCTCAGTTAAAAAGAACACTGAAATGCAAGCCTTCAGATTCTGAGGGACAAAATTGTAATGTACCATCCTCTCAGATATTATTGTTATTTATTTATTATAAAGACAGAAGCGGGTATTTTTCTTTTGTGAGGTAGAAACCATAGTACATAATTCAAGTGCTCTCAAATAGTATATAAACATTTCGTGAATGCAACTCTCACAATTTAGAAAACTTGTATATACAGGGATAGTTGATATTCTAGGTATGCATCAATTGTAACGTAGAAAACTCGTATCTATAATAAGAGTTGCAAACTGAAAGTATTAAACAAGAGTAAATCCGCTAAATCGTCCTCCAAAGACTTTATCACCAAATCAATCCCACAATGATACAAAACAATTACCAAATTTGTATTTTTGTGTCACCAGTGTCCTTAAGAGAAAATCTGATAAGGCTTTAAATCATTGAAGGATCATCTTAATAATAAAAGTATCTTTGCAAGATTGATATAGTGATGTCGTATATTTGGAGGATCAATTTAGCAGTTTACTCTTGACAGAAAATTATATAACAAACTGAAGCATTACAACAAAAAGCATTAAAATATCACCACACTTCATTACAAATTAGAAACAAAGTAGGAGGGATAGAAGCTACTGATGAGATAGAGAACCTTGGAGAAGTCCATCACGGATTTGGCTAGCTACATCGCGAACAACACCAGGTCCATGTGGAATGAAAACAGCAGAAGTCTTGGAGGTGGCACCAATTTCTTTCATCGTGTCAAAGTATTGAGTGATAAGGACCATATCCATGACATCCTTCGCAGTTGTCCCTGGTACATTAACCGAAAATCCAATAACACTGTCTCTTAGACCATCCACTATGGCTTGACGTTGGCGAGCAATACCCATCCCATTGAGATATTTGGACTCAGCCTCACCCTCAGCTCGCTTGATTTGCAAGATCTTCTCTGCCTCTGCCTTCTCATTAGCTGCCATCCTCAATCTTTGAGCTGATAAAAGACAGAAAACAGTATAAGAAAATATGGTAATCCGTAAACAAAGGAGATATTTAAGATATACACAATACCAATGATGCAGTGACATCTCATGGTTTAAAAAAACTACCAGCATTGATTTCATTCATAGCTCGCTTCACATGCTCATCTGGCTCTATATCAGTAATCAATGTTTGAACAATTTCATATCCATAAGCCGACATAGCCTGTAGAGACGACTCAAAGTTACACAAATCTACAGTTTACCTCATCAATAAATACTAATCGTAACAACAAAAAAACCTTCTCAAGTTCTTCTTCCACAGCTTTTGCAATTTCATTTTTCTGCTCAAAAGCATCATCTAAGTTGAGCTTTGGAACACTTGCCCTAATGACTGCAATGAGAATAGAGCTTTACCTTAGCCGATAATTTACATATTTTAAATCACTTTTGCATGTTTATGTATTGCTAAGCAAGGTTATACTTTATACCATCAAAAACATAAGCTTGAATTTGGGACCTTGTGTTGCTAAGTTTGTAAAATGCATCATTGGCACTGTTAGCCAAGGCACGGTATTGAATAGAAGCAACAACATTGACGAAGACATTATCCTGCAAGTAAATAAAACTTAAAAACTTCCTAGCCAAAGAGAAAGCATTCATATGATTAATAAGCATGGAATAATGATTTAAAGATTTGGTTTAGTTGAAATCTTAGACAGCAACAAACCTTTGTCTTGGTCTCGCATTTGATATCCAATTGTTGTAGCCGAAGAGACAGATGACCGGCAATTCGTTTACCAAGGAACCACGGCAGGCAATGGCATCCCGGCTGAAGCACCTTTTCAAATTTTCCAAAACCTTCTTTCATAGCCACCGTAGATTGGTCAACTTGCACACAACATATAAGATTCCCCATTTGATTTTAACTGCACATATCGATAGAGAATACAATTCTTATTAACCTCTACTATAGAAGTTCTTCAGTTTCCAAATAACAAAATTCAATTCATAAAAGATTAACAATCTAGAATCAAACATCATTGGCTATGAAACCATTTACTAAAAAAAATCAAAATTTGTTACCTCAGTTTTGAAAAAGCTACAAAGTTGAAGTTGGTATCACCTTGAAAAAACCCAGCTATATATTGATCCAGAAAATCAATTATTTGAATGAAACAAGAAATTTCATAGATAGTATTTAAAACTAAAAGCTGACGTGGAATTGTTCTTTCACAGTTGGCTTGAATAACAAGCTAAAAAGTTGAGTAATGAGTATAAAAATAGATAGAGTTCTTGATATGAAGCATAGTAGAATAGTATATTCCATTGACATAGATATATACAATTTTATATATGTTTATAGTGAGAATATCAAAGTAGTAAAACAAAATAAAAAGAAAACGCGTTGTTGTTGTAAGGGGATGATGAATTATTACCTGTTATTTAGGTTTTAGTGAATGAATTGTGCCTTCCAAACAAGTTAAGAACTGTAATATATTAATATAGGTGGGTGAAGAAAAAAAAGGAGTTGAAAATAATCCCTAGTCATTATCGTTTGCCGAGAAAGTTCTAAGTGATTACGATGGATAAGCCTAGTGGATGGAAAAAAGGAAAGAATCATCCATAAATAACATTATGAATAATAACACAACATAGGATTCAAACTTTGTTGTTTGAGGATATACTAGTGTTTTGATTCTTTGATTAAACAAATAACTTTTGGAATTTATCTATTTTTTTATTTTTTGATCAAGGACTTTTTCCTTTATCTATGACGATGGAGCCAACTGTATATTGCAAAATCATATCCAAATACTTAGTTTTGTTTATGATTCACTACAGATATTAGAAATTGAAATAAAACTAAAGTTTTCATTAACTAAGAGATTAGGGATAAATACTTTAGGGAAGTCGTAATCATATAGAAAAAACTCCGTTTGATAAGATTTATTTATAACACTCGTCGTGGAAAACATAACTTTCTCGTTACTATAATTTTCTCTTTATCTTTTAATTTTCTATCAAACCAATAAAAAATTCAAATCTTTTTGGTTCAATTGAAATAATGAGATTAAAGTTAAGTAAATATTAGTAGTCTTTAAGTTCGACACTCGGTAGCTTTATCGATTTTTATCACTTATGTTTTACACGAGAATAAGATGATGATTGATGAAGCTAATTTGGTTTTTACGTTGTAACGGAGTTCCATTTCCAATGTGATGAATGAGGCTAACCTGCAAGGTTAGCACTCCAACATTCAAGTTAGTTATGGAAAGATTCAAAATGAAGTAAAATCTTGGAAGAATGAGTTCATACCTATTTTGGCGCCTGAGTGGAAGTATTTATAAGATGGGAAGGAAATTGGGCCTTACTAACATTTATCTCTGGGCTTTGATCCGGCCAGAACAGTTGCCCACATACTTGTTATGTTGAGAAGCGTAAGAAGTCTTTGGACAGGGTTGGGTTACACCATTGTCTATTTGGTTGGGCAATGAAAAGTCATGCAATATTTTCAAATAAATGTTTGTCTAATCATTAGGATGTTTTACATGACTATCCCACACATGGCTCTAAGGGATAAGTTTAGGACGTTACGCGTATGGTTAGACGTTTCGAATGCACTTGAGTGTATTTTTCATCTCGAGATGGAGAATGAGTTGTTGGATCATTGTGTTGACATAAACCCATGATTTTGTAATTCCTTTCCCCCTCTTTAAATAAACTTCCTTCTGAATTTCTTTCAGAACTTTTTGACTTCCCTTTTGTATTTTCTTCTGCATTATTCTAAGTGGTCCTTCTTTGTTCTTGTTGTTCCTTTTGGATTGTTGCATTATGCAAAACAACAATGGAGAAGTTGTTTTGGAGTAGAAGGACACATGTGGGAACTAATGTCCCAGCATGTGTGCATCATTTGTCCCTTGTATGCAAAACAAGGATGTTGCTACGTGCGCTCATTTTTCAATAACATAGAATGCATTTTTTTTATGATGTGTGCAATAAATATTGTTGATTTCTTTTAGCAATTAGATTTATTTGATTATTTAATTAGTTTAAATTAAAATCAAGGAGATTTAAATTTGTATTCAAATCAAATCAAATCTTATTTTGTGGAGCTGACTTAGAGCAACAAATCTCAACAATATCTTCACTAATTCTGGACTAAATCAGATTATTATCTAAGGAGAAAAAGCCCATAAGACATTTCTATTTAAGGAGACTCAATTCTCATATTTTTTTCAAGAGTTTTATGCACAAGAACAAGTTCTTAGTGGCTAGGGTTTATGAGTTTTTTGTTTCTTATATTCCACGTTAATGCCCTCATAAGGATTAGTGTTGAATATGTTGTTGCTACATATTCATGATCGAAGACGCTCTAATCTCTTAGAGCTCAAGGAAGCAAAGACTTTTTGCTTTATCATCTTGTGAAGTTGATTACGTGGATGCATCATTTGCAGTATGTCAAGCAGTATGAATAGAGATGTTGCTCGAAGAGCTCAAGATCATGGAAGCTAAGAAAATGAAGTTGTTTGTCGATTACAAGTCATCGATCAACCTAGCAAACCACCCTATGTGTCATGGTCGAAGTAAGCACATATAGAGGATGTATCATTTCCTTATGGATCAAGTGAATAAAGGGAAGCTTGAACTTGAGAATTGCGAGACAAAATGATAACTAGCAGATATACTCACAAAACCACTAAAGAAAGTCATGTTTAATGAGCTAAAGAGAAGTATCGAGATGAGAAGTCTTAAAAACATGAATTATGAGGTGTGTTAGAATATGTAATTCATGGTTTCATTAAGTATGATGTGTTTGATAATGTTGTGTACTCTAATTGAAGTGGTTGTAGATTCAACTATATTCGACAAAGTCGAATATAGCTAATAAATGTTAGGTCAAAATGTAATTTGTATCTTTTGGGCTTGGGCCTTGGTTACCTTTAAATAGGCATGATGTTATAGGTAATTCAAAATACAATTAATAGAATTTTCCCTTCACACAATACATTTTCTCTCTCTCTCTCTCTCTCTCTCTCTCTCTCTCTCTCTCTCTCTCTCTCTCTCTCTCTCTCTCTCTCTCTCTCTCTCTCTCTCTCTCCTTCCTTCTTCTTATTCTTCTTCATTCATTCTTCTTGAAACCCTAATTGTTCAAATATAAACCATCCAATTGGCCATATCATCATGACCTAAAAAATGTTGTCTCATTTAGCTATTTATGTAGGTAGTGTGTGGGCTCTCCATCCATTTTGGAATATATGACACCCTATGTTTGGCTTAGTATCTTCGACATCTCGGTGTGTTCCGTTGAATTTTTCCATGTGTGTGTAACTTGCTCAGCTCTTAGCTCCATAATCTTTGTGATATAATATCAGTAGCGGTATAAACACAACATCAACCACAATGCTCAATTTATCTAGTCATACTATATTATGACTAAGTCTGGAGTCTTTACGGCCATAATAGATATATGTAGAATTTACAAATATTTAGTTATCTTACATGGGATGTATTTTTGTTTGACTAACCATGCCTCCGTTAAGGAACATTTGACTAACCCTCAATTGATAATCTGTCAATTTTGGCTGACACTTTCATTATTTACAAATCTAAACAAGAATATAGAAAATGAGCGATGGCAATATTGGATCAACAATTGCAAACATTTCATATTCACTCATTACAATTAGAAAAAGTAACCTTAAACCACTATATCCAATTATATTGATTGCATTTCAAAAAGTAATGGTTACATCATTAAGTTATTGGCTTAATTGCAATTTTGGTCCCTCTATTTTTATTTTTATTTAGTTTTGATCCCCCTTTTTAAAATCCGGAATTTTTGTCCCTTTGTTTTCAGTTTTTTTGAGTTTTGCTTCCCTTATTTTAAAATTTAAAATTTTTGTCTCTCTATTTTCATTTTTTGTGAGTTTTAGTCCCCTTATTTTCTTTTCTTTTTTTAAACTTTTGGTCTCTTATTAAATTTGTTTCTAATTGGAAAAGGGGATTAAAATTCAAAACAAAACTTAAAATAGGGGATCAAAACTATTAAAAAAAAATGAAAATAGAGGGATCAAAATTTTGGATTTTAAAATAGGGGGAGCAAAACTCAAAAAAATTGAAAATTGAAGGACAGAAATTCCGGATTTTAATATAGGAGGATTAAAACTAAAAAAATGAAAATAAAGGGACCGAAATTGCAATTAAGTCTAAGTTATTTTTAACGAATCCACAAACACACATATCACAAGAACATGCAGACAATCACATGCTAATTCAACAAAAATTTTAGACTTTCGCCCCGAGCCCGAGATATAAGTCTAGAAGGGCATAAGTACTGCATCGATACTAATCTCAAATTATGAAAGTCCTATCTTGAAAAAAATTTTAATTTTTCAAACTTCAAAAGATTTTTAAACACATTACCTATTAAAATTGTTAGGGATCCAATGAATTTATTTTATGGGTCTAAGAATTCAAATCCAATTATATTATGGAATATCAACAAGATAAAGTCCATATCTTAAAGAACATAGGTGAACCAAATCAACGGAAACTGAGATATTTTTACCTAGGTGTAACATGCTGGTATAACATAATAATCTACCTTGATTAGGATCCAAGTCACTAAGCATGGTTTGCAGTAGGATCACTCTTTCTACAAATCATGTTTAAAATCTTGAAAAGGTTTGCGTTAGGTTAACACTTTGACATGAAAGTGTGATGTAAAGGTGGCGAGTTCGACTTGCCTGTCAGGTATTTTAGAACTTATTATGTTCTTAAGGCCAAAGACAAGGAGATCTAGAGATATTTTAAAACACTACAGGGTTCGACAAAGAAATTCCTCGACAAGGGTAATTAGAGGTTGTGAGGGCGGTTTCTATAATAATAACAATTTTGAGGAAGTTCACATAGACA